GGATCCTGTACTTAATAAACAAAGCTCTGGGCTGTGTCTCTTAACCACTGCTGAATTGTCACTTGGCTGGTAGCATACCCGTCCCCAGTAGCCTTCTAGAATACTGTGTGTGAGTGGAAATCTTCTGCTCAGCTTGTGTTGTCATCTTTCTGAACCTTTCCTCTCGAATGCCTCCTGCATCGGGGGAGACCTGCAGCCCAAGGGACTTCTAGGAAGGTCGGTCAGTCTTTTATTAGGAAACTTCACTGTAGTCCTCTCCATGTCATTCTTAGATGGCTATCTTTCAGTTGAGGAAAAAGAGCCATATCGGATAGCTATCTATAGCTGTAATTTCTCACTCCAATTGCAGCGATTTACAGCTCTGAGGTGCCCTGTGGTTTACTCGAAAGTCCCCCAATCTAGAACGTGTCTTTCCTTGGTGTGGATTTGCTACATTTGAGAAATGGTCTTGGGCAAAAGGAACCTTAGTGGTGCGGTGGTTAAAGTGCGTGACTGCTAACCAGAAGATCGGCGGCTGGACCGACCAACTTCACAGGAGGGCGAGGTGGCAGTCTGCTTCTGTACAGATGACAGCCCTGAAAACGCGGTGGGACAGCCCTGTTGTCCTTACAGATTTGATGTGAGCCAGAATGGCTGTGGGTTTACATTTTTAAAAAATTTAATGTATAGAAATAGACTGAAAGTAGTGCTATGAAGGGCCCCTAGAAATGTCTGTGCCTTGGGGAGCACAGCCTCATCCTACAACAGGAAGCCTGCGCGGGCTTTCCTTCTGGGACTGCTCTCATGGAAAACCTTTTCTCCTCAACAGAACCAAAGCCTGAAACCCACCCGTGTGCTGACTGCCCTCTGCCCTGCTCCACTCAACCGCGCCTCAGCCATCAGCTTGTGACTGCTTCCTTAGGTGCGGAAAACCACCCCCCTGCAAGGAAGCTCTGTCAAGAGGAGCAGGGCCAGCAACAGCCTTCTGACCAAAGCTGCTGGAACAACAAAGCCAAAGGGCAAGAGAAAGGAGACTCCGCATCCTCTGTGGGGAGCCTGAGTGGAAGGGGACTTGGTAGGGCATTTTCCACTCCACTCCTAGGAAAGCTACTACACTCTAGGGAAGGGAATGGAGTCGCAGAAATAGAGCCCCGCCTAGCCACAAATGTAGACCTCGAGGTAGCTCACATAGTATTGAAGGGAGTAGAAGTTTCTGAATTTGGAGCAGCCAATGGGGCAGAGTGTACAATGAGCCACAGGCCAAGCCTTCTTACAGGGACACCCTCAGGGGAGAAGTCTTTAGTATGTAGGGAGTTTGGGCAAGGCTCTGGCAGTAAGTCACCCGTCATCAATCACCAGACAGTGCCCTCGGGGGAGAAGCCCTATGTGTGCAAGGAGTGTGGCCGAGGATTCAGTTGGAAGTCCAATCTTCACCGACATCAAAGGTCACACTCAGGAGAGAAGCGTTTTGTGTGCAATGAGTGTGGACGCCCTTTTACTGAAAAGTCAACCCTCATTGCTCATCAGAGGACACACTCTGGGGAGAAGCCTTATGTGTGCAGGGAGTGTGGGCGTGGCTTTCGGCAGCTATCAATTCTCGTGAAACACAGTAGAATACACTCAAAGGAAAAGTCATTTGTGTGCAGGGAGTGTGGGCAGGGCTTCCGATTGAAGTCAAATCTCCTGAGACACCAGAGGGGACACTCGGGGGCACAGCGATTTTTGTGCCCAGACTGTGGGCGAGGCTTCAGCTGTAAGTCCGCCCTGGTCAGACATCAGAGGACACACTCAGGGGAGAAGCACTTTCTGTGCAAGGAGTGTGGGCAAGGCTTTAGCTATAAGGCAGCCCTCTTCAGACACCAGAGTATACACTCAGGGGAGGAACATGAGTGCTTTTTGTGTAGCGAATGTGGGAAAGGCTTCAGCTGTAAGTCAGCCCTCGTCAGACACCAGAGGACACACTCAGGAGAGAAGCCCTTTGTGTGCAAGAAATGTGGCCGAAGTTTCAGCTTCAACTCCTATCTTATCAGACACCAAAGGATACACTCAGAGGAGAAGCCTTTTGTGTGCAGTGAGTGTGGGCGCGGCTTTACTGAAAAGCTAACCCTCATTGCCCACCAAAGGACACACTCGGGAGAGAAGCCGTATGTGTGCCAGGAGTGTGGGCGCGGCTTTATCCAGATGTCAGTTCTGATCAGACACCAGAAGATACACTCAACGAACAGCCCGTTTGTGTGCATGGAGTGTGGGCAGAACTTCAGATTGAAGTCCGATCTGGTCAGACACCAGAGGATACACTCAGGGGAGCAGCAGTTTTTGTGCGTGGAGTGTGGGCGCAGCTTTACCCGCAAGTCAGTCCTTATCTTGCACCAGAGGACGCACTCAGGGGAGAAGCCCTATGTGTGCAGGGACTGTGGGCGAGGCTTTAGCTGCAAGTCAGCCGCCATCAAACATCAGAGGACCCACTCGGGGGAGAAGCCCTTTATGTGCAGGGAGTGTGGGCGCTGCTTCAGTGTGAAGTCAAATCTTGTCACACATCAGAGGACACACTCAGGGGAGAAGCCTTTTGTGTGCAACGAGTGTGGACGAGGCTTTACAGAAAAGCTAACCCTCATCGTGCACCAGAGGACTCATTCTGGGGAGAAGCCTTATGCGTGCCTCCAGTGTGGGCGATGCTTTCGGCAACTCTCCATCCTCACTAGACACCAGAGGACACATTCAGGGGAGAAGCCCTTTGTGTGCCGGGAGTGCGGGCGGGGCTTCAGTGTGAAGTCCAATCTTGTCGCACACCAGAAGACTCATTCCGAGAAGCTTTTATGCTTTGGGAATGTTGGCGAGGCTTTGGTGGTAAGTCAGCCTTTGTCAGGCATGGAACACGCTCAGGGGAGAAGCGGTTTTTGCTCAGGGAGTGTGGACGGGCCTTTAGTTGAAAGTCACCTCTCGGTGTATATGGGAGGGCAGGATTTGGCTACCCCTACCCCATCCCAGCACAGAACCGTCTCCTGGCCCTTTATATGCCCTATGAATGTAAAAATGGAATGGGAAGCAATGGAAAAATGGGGCTTTCCCTAAGTCAAAGAGAGTCAAATTGTGACCGAATTTCCCTACACCAGGCCCTCTCCCTGGTTCAAGTTTTGTTGTTTTGTTTTTGTAAAAGCTGTAAACCTCTACCTCATTTGTTAGAGCAAAGGAGATCAGCACTGGGAAGGAGAACTCATACTCTCAGCCTTTGTTCCCCAAGAAATGGAACTGAGAAAAGCCTAAGTCCACAGACACCTTTTCATATTCATTACAGAATTGAAATCTTTGGACAGAGTTCTAGGTATTGGGAGACAGTTCTCCAGAGGCACTGACAAAGTTTCATTTGGACTCTTCCTGGGGTGGTTTAGATATCAGGCAGCCTTGGCAGATATTTTCCTCCAGGGAGGAGCTAGATTTGTTTGCTGTCTAGGATATAAAAAATAAATGTCTTTTTTCGGGGCAAAGAGCTGGCGAGTTTGCTTGAAACCCTTTTAAAAAGATTGAGATTTCCTATGCTTAGGGGATCTCACTTACCCATTACTTGCATAGCTTCTACCTTGGCCCACTGCTTGTCAGCCCCATGGGGCTTGGGGGGGGGGAATGGAACCAACATGAACAGGAAGTTTATCCTGTCTTGTGCCACAGGTAATAAAGTCCTTTGTCTATGACCCAGGATTCCTTTGTCGTCTGCTAGTGTCCATGAAACTATCAAGCTAGGGTAAAACCTTATTTTCTCTTTTTTTTTTTTTCCTTGCTGCGGTTATTTTTTTAACAGCTTTATTGAAATCAAATTCCATACCAGTACACAACTCAATGGCTTATAGTAGAGCCATAGGGCTCTGTATCCATCACCACAATCAACTTTCGAAGATTTTCATCACCTTTAACCAGTAACTTGTGCCCCTGAGCCGTTACCCTCATATCCCCCAGCCCAAGGTAACACTCTGTCACGATAGAGTTTCCTAATCTAGGCATTTTGTATAAATGGCATTCTATAATATACGGTCCTCTGTGACTATCTTATTTAGCATAACATCTTCAAGAATTATGTTATCACATGTATCAATACTTAATTTTTATGGCTAAATAAGATTCTGTTATATGGATAATACCTTTTATTAATCAGTGGTTAGACATTGGGATTTCCCTCTTACTATTATGAATAGTATGTCTAATTATGAATAATACTGCTATGAATATTCACATACAAGTTATTGTGTGGACATGATGTTTTCATTTCTCTTGATAATATCCTGAATCAAAAGCCAAACTCATTGCCAGCAGGTTGATTCCAACCCATTGTGGTGACCCTATAAGACAAGTATAATTGCTCCTCAGAGGTTCTGAGTTCAATGAAGTGGGAGTCTCTGACCTCTAGCTGCCCTATTGCCACAACACATGCTTCTGTGCTCTGTCCTTCATTACCGATTCTGACACCACCTGTTCTTATGCCAGTCCACATCTATGCTGGGGTCCACAATTCATTGTGATGGCCACACAGAACTCACAGTGCTGAAAATTAAGGGGGTTTATTAGGGAAGTCAATAAGTTACCACTGACATTGTGGATCACAGCCCAAAGCTTAACCACTACACCAGGATTCCTATCATCTGCATATAGCAGGTTGTTAATAAGTTTCCTCCAATCCCGTTGCCACATTCTTCCTCTAAACCAGCTCCTCTGATGATTTGCTCCGCCTACAGATTAAAAAAATTTCAGCTCACAAATGCCTAGGATAGCGATCTTTGTGCAGTCCATTTTATTTTGATGATCTCCAGTTTTCCTAGATTCATACTTCACACATTTCAAATTCTGATTATTAGTAGATGGTTGCAGCTCTTGTCATGTTGAGTCACATCCTATTAGTAAAGTTTTTTAAAACCGTACTTCAGCCACATCACTATGGTTGACTCTACTTTGAGAAGGCAACTCTTCCTCCATCATCTTTTGAGTGCGGTATGTACTGAGGGGATCATCTTCTGGCACTATATATGACAATGTTCCACTACTATTCATAAAGCTTTTTGGTGGTTAATTCCTCCAAAGTGGACAGCCTATTCCTGCTTTGTAGAATGTATTATTAATTTGGAAGCTCTGCTAAAACCTGTTCACTGGGCGATTCTGCTGACATTTGAAATACCAGTGACATAGCTTCTGGCATCACCACAACCTGCAGATCACCACATTACAACAAAGTGAGACAAATGGTAGAGTCTAAGAAGCATAATCAAATAAAAAAATGAAGAAAATGTACAAAACCCAACGGATCAAATAGGTAATAAACACTTTATGAGATTTCCAGTAAAAGAAGACAGAAAATGAAATAAAGTACACTTGACAAAATGATGGGTAAAAAATTTTTTAATTTGAGGAAAAATAATGAAGCTACACAACCAAGAAGCAACATTAATTAAGTTCTCAATAGCCGAAGACAAAGAGATATATTTGAAAGCAAGAAAGATACAGCTCATCATGTACAGAGAATTCTCCCATAAGATTAACAGCTTATTTTTCATCAGAAACAATGGAGACTAGAAGATATATTTAAAGTACTGAAAGAACAAAACACCTGTTAGCTAGTAATTTAATATCCAGCAAAACTGTCCTCTAAAATAATGGCATATAAAGACAGAAATAACATAATTGCCCATTATTGCATGAATGCATAAACAAAAAATGGTACATACACAAAGAAATACTATGCAATGTTAAAACCGGAGAATCCGCCAATCACCTGATGCCATGTATGGACCTGGAGGACATTATGCTGAGTGAAATAAGTATCATCAACAGACAAACATTGTATGTGGTCACTATTGTAAAAAGTTGAGAAAAGGTTTATGCACAGAAAGAAATATTCTCTGATGGTTACCAAGGATGAGAAGGGAAGAAAGAGTAAATCATCAACCAGAGCAGACACATATCCTAGTGGGGGAAGCTAAAGGCAGTACACAATAGAGGGGAGAGCAATACATGAACAATGGCAAGGGAAGTCATAAGGAGATGCACACGAATAAAAGACAACCTTGCAAAAAGGTAATCACAAACAATCTCTATGAGTTGATACCTAGATAGACATACCAACTGAACATGCCAAATGTGAATGGAAGTATCTGTATTCATAAGCTACATATACTTGTGGGAGTATACCCTCAAGTAAATGTAGACTAGGCAGAGGATATTTCTACATACATATTTGTTGAGCTATAAGCATAGTAGAGGATATTGTAGAGCATACAGGAGGCAAACTTTTGAATATTTCTTGAGTCATAACCAAACATCTTATGGAAATTGGTCACTGGCCTTGGGAATGTAAGGCCACACTCTTGGGGGACATCTAAGTCAATTGGTATAATAGTCCACAAAAGCAATGTTTCATCCTACTATCATGAGTAGCGATTGAGTTCTTAAAAGCTTGTGCATGGCTAAGAGGCCACGATAGGTCTCTCCACATTTGAGGCAAAGAAGAGTGAAGAAAATCAAGGAAACAGCTCAACAGAGCACATGAACCACAGCCTTCATTACCTTGAAATCTGAAGGACTTAATGGTGCCTGGGTATTCCTACCAGCCACTCTGATCAGCATCACAATAGAAGGTCTAGACAGAGAACGAGGAAAAAAAATACATAGAACAAAATTCAAACTCATGCAAATATCAGATTTGCTGTTCTGACAGAGATTAATGGAATCTCAGAGACTGTGGTTCTTTAGACATCCATTAAATCTGAAATGAAACCCACCCCTGGGGATCAATGTTCAGCCAAACAATAGGTAGGCTTATTAAATGAATAATAACAAGAAGAAAGAATATACTTCTCATTATAATTAGTAATTGACCAAAAGGACATCACTTGCCTAAAAACAAAGTTCAAGAGGCAGGAAGAGGAAGGAAAGAAGGATGAATGGAAATGAGGAATCCTGAGAAGAGGCAGAGTGCTGTTATTCTGAGGAGGTAGCAATTAGTGCCATGAGACAAGACTCATTGTTTAATGGAGTACATGTCACCCAGGCTACAATAAGAAAAATGATGGCATAATAATAATAATAATGGAAAGCAATAATTGTTGGTAAGATGGTGGAGAAACAACAACACAGAAACAATGTAAACAATTTTAAATGAGGGCAAAATTAGGAAAGATATTTGAGGATGTTTATATCACTGGATCATCTCTACAAGAAATGCTAAAGGGAGATTTTCTTATTGAATAAACACAAGACTTGCTATCAATTGGAATCTACTCAATGTCAGTGGGTGTTAAAAAATGGGAGTTAATTGTTGTTGTTAAGTGCATTGGCGTTGGCTCCGACCCAAAGGGACCCTGTGTACAACAGAACAAAATATTGCACAGTCCTGCGCCTTCCGCACAATTGTTCCTATGCCTGAGCCCAGTGATGCAGTCACTGTGTCGATCCATCTCATAGAGTCTCCTTTTTTACTGCCTGTCCACGTAACCAAACTTGATGTCCTTCTCCAGGGACTGGTCTCTCCTCCCGACAATAAGTCCAAAGCATGTAAGATGATGTCTTGCCTCTAAGGAACACTCTGGCCTTAATTTTTCCAATACAGATCTGTTTATCCTTTTAGCAATCCATGGTACTTTCAATATTCTTCTGCAGCACCACACTACTAATGCAGTAATTCTTCTACAGTCTTCCTTATTCAATCTCCAGATTTCACATGCTTACTATGCAATGGAGGATATCATGGCTTGGGTCACAACTTAGTCTTCAAAGTTAACACCTTTGCTCTTCAATACTCTAAGGAGGTCTTGTGCAGAAGATTTACCTAATGCAACCTGTCTTGCTCTCTTGACACCTGCTCCCATGAGCATTGCTTGTAGATCCAAGTAAGACAAAATCCTTGACAACTGCAATCTTTTCTCCATTTTTCATGATGTTTCCTATTGGCCCAGTTGTGAAGATTTTGGCCTTTACATTGAGCTGCAATCCCTACTGAAGGCTACAACCCTGGATCAATAGCAAGGGCTTCAATTCCTCCTCACTTTCAGCACGGAATATTGTGTCATCTGCATACCGCAGGCTGTTAAGCTTCCTCTAATCCTGATGCCACACTCTTCATATTATCCAACTTCTCTGATGATTTGCTTAGCGTATAGATTGAATAATTATGGTGAGAGGATGCAACCCTGATGCACACCTTTCCTGATTTTAAAACAAGCATTATTCCCTTGTTGTGTTTACATACCTGCCTCTTCATCCACCTACAGATTTCACATAAGTATAATGAAGAGTTCTGGAATTCCATTCTTCTCAAAGTCATCCACAGTTAATTATGATCCACATAGTCGAGTGCCTTTGCATAGTCAATGAAACACAGGTAAGCATCTTTCTGGTATTCTGAGCTTTGAGCCAAGACCCACCTGACATCAGCAATGATATCCCTCATTCCATGTCCTCTTTTGAATCCAGCCTGACCTTCTGGCAGTTCCCTATTAATGAGAATTAGACAGTAACTGAAGGCTGTTTGAAGAAATAAGGTAGTAGTAGATGCACAAATATAAACGCCAGTTTTCCTGTACTTTTGGATGTAACTAACACTACTTTGTATCTTTTACATGTTGTTAAATTTATTTTACATTTGGTTTGTAACACTCCTTTGTATCTTTCACATCATGTAAAAGCTAAATGCATAGATATAATTAAATTTGTGTTATTGTGCACACAATGTATAAAGGTATACATTATAGCAACAACTTCTATAGTGAATGAGCTATACAGAAGCATAGTATTTGTATGCTTTTGAAGTTGTTCATTCAGTTTCAACTAGATTGTTATCCATTGATGAATTTAGGAGTTGAAATATTATTCCCATGATAACCTCAAAGAAAGTATTTTTTAAATACACAAAAGAAATGAGAATGGATGTTGCTGGGTTTTCTTTATTTTGTTTCCTGTTTGTGTATTGCATGAGTTTCTGTATAGGAAAATCCAGGATAGGTAAATTTTTTGTTTGTTTGTAATGTTTGCATGCAAACTAGGACCAACTCCACGGGAGGAGTCACCCCCCTCTCAAGGGTGCAAAATGCTGCCCTGAGGTTATGCGACCACAACACTAAAACAGTGCATGGAGCCAGACCTCACTGGGCAGTGCTTGCTCTTCCAACAGTGTAACACTGTCCCAGGCATTGTGTTAGCCTGGATGGCTGACAACCATTGGTGGGACAGGTAAATCTACAGAGACTGTAGCTGTATTAATAATTACCTAGGGGCAAGGGAGGTTGGGGAAATGGGGAGCAAACAACAATGAGTATGTGAAGAAATTGATGTCCCAAAGTTGTTTGTGGTAATGAATGCACCAACCTTCTTAAATATCATAAACTATTGGGCCATATGGCATATTAATTGTATCTCAATAAAACTATTTTAAACAGAGGGGAGTGGAGCATATTATTTGGGCCTTGAGATTCCTGTGCATTGAACCTCCTTGATTCAGGTACAGAAAGCCCTCACAGAAAGCTGAAATTGATTGTGGTGATGATTGCAAAAGTTTTAATATTAAAACATTTGAATGATTAAATTGTATGATATGATTACATTTAATCATATAAATGATTACATTGTATGCTATGTGAAGCATATGTCAGTAAAACTTTTAAAAAGAAGTGATATTGGAATAAATACCTTTATAATGTATGCCCCTACCCCACTTGTAGTAAACAATTTAGCCTTTGGTTTTGGGTTCTAAGAACATTACCACACCTGAAACCAATAAACAGAGATTGATCAGATCAAGTGATACCAGCTGGGGCCAAGGCAGATGAAGCCTCTCAAGTCTTTATATAATTTACTATGGCCTTGTGGTGAGGCCTTTATTAAAAGTCATTTAATATGGAGACTTAGTGGAGCTTCCTGGGTGGTGAGAGCAAACATTTGCTTTGGGAGGACAAGTGTTTCCCTAAGGATATGGAAGCTCTGGGATGACTTCTTTTGGGATCTGAACCCATTTTTCTGCATCATTTGTTTCTCTGCTAGATTAAATATAACCATTTTCATGGAGTTTTTTAATCATTCCAATAGCTTATTGGATCTAAGAAATCAAGATAGGTCCAGTACCCACTGACCTAGCTCCAGATGAATAAGAATAACAGAGAAAGGGATGCACTGGAAGCTAGGGCATGGACTAACCAGGGAAGGAAACCAGAAATTTCTACAGGATGCACTTGACATGTGGAATGGGATTTATTATCTACTAGACATTTGGCATCAGAAATGAATGATCTCAGCCTCCCTAAACTGGTTTGATATAACTGACAAAGAGGCTGGGATCTGCATGAGTAGTCCTGACATCTCAGGTTTGTGTGAGAAGTGGGATTCTATGCAAGGTCTTCTGACTCATGAAACATAGAGCTTGGGGAGAAAAAGGGTAAGTGGGTGAAAGATGAGAAACTTTAGATTTTTTGGTTGTAGACATTTGTAGTAAGAGAAATGAAGGTAAGAGATTAGCTGGACTTGTATTCTGACCAACCCCTAGTGCTGAAGTCATTTCCCAAGGGAAAGACTATGCCGAAGCAGTAGCTAAGGAAGAAGGTAGAGTGATTTTCATAAGGGTAGTCATGAGAGAAAAGCTGTACCGGTGGAGTGACTTGGGGTGAAGACCTGGCAGGTTCATCTGGATGATGCTTGACAGGGGCTCAGAGTTTTCTTGATCCAGTTCAGCCAAGGAGCTGAGGCATTATGCATACAAGTGGGTAAAATGGTCAAGAGAATAAAATGAAACCAGATATTATGTTTAAACAGGTTTTATGAAGAAGAGTTAAATGAAATTTGTTTGGTAAAACTGGAATGTTTAAATAGGCTTGAGTTTGAGTGGTAGTGTTTATCTGAATATTTCATGAAATAAATATTGGTTTGACTGAGAATGTTTCCTTTACCTGATATGGTAAATGCAGAAGACATATAAGCTACCAATAAATCAATACTAATTGTATATGCTAAGGTACAACTGAAAATTGCCTGACCCCACATTGGGTGGTAATTGACAGTATTCCTTTGTGTAGCTTTAATCAGAGTTTATGCTTAAAATTAGTCAAACAGTCACAATTTCCAAGATGTTTGCACCAGATGATTTGCACTTAAGAAGCAGTTACTGTTGGGCTTTGGCAAGCCAATTGGAAAAAAAAAATCTGTTGACTTATTAAAAGTGTACCTGTGTGGGGCCAAACTGTGGAAATCCAAGATGTTTGGGCTGCTAACTGCGAGATCAGCTGTTCAAAACTACCAGCTGCTTTGCTGGAGAAAGACAGGGCTTTCTACTCCCATAAAAAGTTAACAATCCTGGAGACTCACTATTCTGTCTTACAGGGTCACTGACAGGCATCAACTTGATGGCAGTGAGGGTTTTTTCAGACATAAGTGAGGTGAAATGGATTGCTATGGCCCATTTTGATTCAGAAAATCATATGGTTTACTACGCCAGGAATGATACAATGCGAAGAATGGGATTGCATTCATTGTCAAAAAGAACATTGCCGGGTCTATCTTGAAGTACAATGCTGTCTGTGATAGAATTATATCTATCCAAATATAAGGAAATCTGATCAATACAGTTATTATTCAAATTTATGTGCCAACCACCAAAGTGAGTGATGAAGAGGTTGAAGAATTCTACCAACATCTTCAGTCTGAAATTGATCAAATGTACAGTCAAGTTGCATTGAAAATTATTGGTGACTGGAATGTAAAAGTTGGAAACAAAGAAGAAATAGTAGTTGGAAAACATGGCCTTGGTGATAGAAATGAAGCCAGAGATTGTATGATAGAATTTTGGAAGACCAACATTTTCTTCATCACAAATATCTTTTTCAACAACACAGAAGGCTACTTTACACATGGATGTTTCCAGATAGAATATGCAGGAGTCAAATTGATTACACCTGTGGAAAGACAGAGACGCTAAATACAAGCAGCTAAAACCAGGCCAAAGACTGACTGTGGAACAGGCCATTTTTGCTAATATGTAAGTTCAATCTGAAGCTGGAGAAAATTAAGACAAGTCCATGAGAGCCAGAATATGACCTTGAGTGTATGACCTTGAATTTCAAAAACATCTCCAGAGCAGATTTGCTGCATTGAACACTAATGGCAGGAGACCTGAAGAGCTGTGGAATAACATCAAGGACATCATACATGAAGGAAGCAGTCATTAAAAAGACAGGATAGCCTCCCCCCCCACTATCATGACCCCAATTCTACCTTACAAATCTGGCTAGACCAGAGGATGTACACTGGTACAGATAGGAAGTGGAAACACAGGGAATCCAGGAC